ACCCCACACCTAAAACTCCAGCAGCCAGTAGGGAGGTTTCGATGGACGCTCAGGGACAATGGAAGTCTCAATGGGATTCTACAATTTCTAAACAAGACAGTCTTCTTTCATGCAAAGCAAATGAAATCAAACATCTTATAATTCCAGAGAATACTGCTTAATGAAAATATTGAAAACATTTTATAGCATTTTTTATTTTACCATTGAAACAGTTATTGATAACCTATTTTATCCATTGTGCAGTAGATATTTTAGAAATGAATTGCTGTATGGTTTAATTAGTTCATTATTATGCCTATTCTTACATGGTAATTTCTTTTATCATTCTAATCATTCACTTCACACTTTTTAAACCAAATGGAATATCAAAGGTTCTGTAGGATTATTTTTGGATCCTGCACATGTTTCACCACACAATTAATCTGTTTGTCAGAAATACTAGTTAACTTCTTCTCTATACCACTTTCCTTTACCAGCTATTTTTCTCTATTCCATACGATGAAATTGTCCTATCCTTTAAGAGGACAGATGCTTTTGTCTCAGTGTATTAAATATTTTTCAATTGTACATGAGGTATTACAATAAAATATTTTAATTTTTATAAAGTTTTGTAATTGAATATTCTCATTTATTTATATCTCATCTACAACATTTATTTAGTCTTTTTACGTGTCTTTACTTAGTTAAAATGCAGAGAGATAAATACAGTTGCTCCTTTGCAGGGAAGATTCAGTACATTAATATAAACTGTACGCTAATTCCCCCAAAGCATATATATATATGTTGTAAAACTGAAGACTTTTTACACAGCTGCTTATTGCTAAACAGTGCCTTGTCCAGAAGGGGACAATCTGTGTCTCTAATTGCTGTCACTGAAGCTGAGATTCATTATGTGACTTTCCCATTAAAATGTGAGCATTAATTTGTATAATGAAATATCACCCACTGCAGTGTTCATTAGCCATGCCCTACTGTATACTGCACATTGTTAGCTACCTAGAAACTGTAGTTAATTTCACTAATGGATATTTCCCTACTTAGTGTTTGGTAGGAAATTTATACTGTAACATTACCTCTTAAACTTTTAAGGAAATTTAAATTCAATCAATTATTTTCAACAAAAGTTTGGGATGTCATTAAGACAGGAGAAAAGGCATGCCGCACAGTGTTAAAGATGGGGAATCTGGAGAAATCTAGAGAAATGAAAAGTCCTTTTAGTTCATCTTAGAAATGTAAGAATAAAGGATGTTCAATACCAAAATTGTCTCCTCTTGGAGCACACATACCCATTTTCCTTAATTATTCATATTGCTCATCCCACTACAAGCGCCTTCAGAGAATGGCAACAGGCAGTCTTTTTTTAGGAAGAAAATGTGAATTGAATTCATTTAAAACAGCACCATTTTTATCGTATTTCATCAATTCTTCTAAGCATGTTTTAAAATTGGCCAATCATATTTTCCAAGGGAAAATGCAGTTAACACCACAAATGTATTTAATACATGTAAGATACATATGACACATATCAAAACATACCCTCCGTTAATTGACGCAGCCTGGCTAAGCTGCTTCTCCCTGTTCTGTCTTAGGGTTCTTTGGTATAGCACAATTTAAACCTTCTTTAGGGCTATACTTGACTCATGCAAAGTGTTTTCATTACACAAGGGATTTAATTGTGCCAGTGACACAGGGAATATGCCTGAGCACCTAACAATCACAAAAAATTCAAAGTGCACTACATCTGCAGCGGTTCCTCAGTGCTAATGTGAGACACAAAGAGGTGCTAGAGCCAACCTGAGGACTGGTCCTCACATCTTATGTTGCTTGCCAAAGGCAGAACATACAAAATTGTAACTTTTAAAACACTTAACTGTTTCTATGCTGTCCGAAGTGCGAAGTACGTAAAGTAAAAAATCATGCATGACTCATTGGTTTTGGTGCGAACACAGAGCACTAAGGAACATAAAGAGATGCTCAGCTCCTTGAATGGTTGAACCCTAATCTGGTGCCTACAGAGGAGAAAAACATGAACTGTGGGAACTTTTGCATTTTATCGGTCTGAGATACTTTGACAAGTTTCCTTCTCTCAAAGTCCAAAGGCCCCTGAGCCTTCTGTGTTACAACCTTCACAACTGTACTACGGTTAGTTTATAACCATGAGGCTGAATCACAAAGTGGCTCCTCCATGTCTACTGCCTGCTACAACCTGGATCCAGTTTTCCCTTGTCCTGGACAGATATCCTGACTGATGGCTCTTTGATTCTTTTGGAATGCCATTACTGACACTCTTCTGAAATTCTTAAAAGAAGAGCCACACTATTCTCTGGCAGGCTGGGAGCAGAGAACAAAAGTAGTACAGAAAGTCCTACAGTCGTAGGCTGGGACTCCACTGAGTTTTTGGTGGCTGCTTTGTTTTGGTTTTGAGAAGGTTATATGATAGCAAACTGCACAGACACCGAGGTGCAGTGCTGAGAAGGTTGCAACCACATAGTACCCAACAAAAAAAAAAAAAAAAAAAGGAAGCAACCCAAGTCACCAGCCATTGCTTTTAAAACAGAGCATAGCACCCTCTGCTCATGAAGGATTAAACAGCTTCTCTAGCTTTTTCGGGCCAATTGCCACAGAAGCACCTCCTGGCTGGATCAGACTTCAGGTCTTGTCTTGGCATGCGTACCAAACCAACCTACTCATGTGCCTCCAAACACACAGATGTTCGAAGGAACCTGACTTCTGCTGAACTGCTTGAGCTCCTCTCTAACAAACAGGTGCTGTGAGAACAAGAACAGTAATTGAGTTAATGTAGTGGAGAAACACAGTAAAGTGTTTTTTATCAGACAGTTATATGATCCAGGCATATAATAAAGACAGAGTATGACATAAAAAGCAGGAAACTGTCCCTGGTAGTGTGAGCTAACCAATATTTGTTTAATAACTGATATCTATTACATCATTTCCATTTAGAGCAATGCAACTTAATTTTTATTTAATAACTCTAGTAATTTGCCAATTTACATTTTTATAATATTTATTATGATTACTTCCAATATGTAAAACACTGCTCCATTTCAACATATTCTTGTCATTATTTACAAATACTTTGTTCTCAACCTAATGGAAATTGATCTTTATCTATTTTAAAATTATAATGCCTTTTAAATATATTGCAAATGTTGTTTTAACATTCTGTATGATGTTTTCTTTTCCTTTTTTATGTGATACTTTACATGCTTTAGTTGTTCTTGTTTTAATTTTGATTAGTAAGTTTTAATATAAAATTTTAAGGAATATTTCCATTGCAATTAATTCACTTTCCATTAGTTCTAAGCCACAAACGCCAAACACGTGATCACTGCCATCTCTAATACAACAACAAAATGACCTCTATATAATAAGATAAAAGAAAGAGATGGGTATCCTCAGGTTATTTTAAAGAATTTTCCTTTGCTTTTCCATTAGTAAAAATGTCAAATTGTTTAAAGCTCATAGTTACAGGATTATTTCCCAATAAAATAACTGTTTTTATTTTTGCAGTGCTGGAGAGCACACACACAGAGTTTGTACTGCATTAAATTTTTCTTACCAAGCCCAAGACATAGAAAAGCCTATTCCTGCCCTAAACAGACTGCAATCCAAACAGAGACTGCATTTTAAAAAAATATCTAGTAATAATCAATCTCAATCGCAAAATGTAGGTAAAAGCACTGCGGTCAACTCCTACTCCAAAGAGAAAAATAAAACAAAGAAATTTTTTCATTTTGTCAGTGAAATGTTTTCCTTTAAATAAATTTCAGCCTTTTTTGACAATTTTTCAAACTCGGGTCTTATATTCACAAAACCAATACTCAGCATTACACCTGTGCAAGCACATAGGAGAAATGTGATTGCTGGTTTTGAGAAGGGAGGCCAATACTTCTCATCTTCTATCTCCGTGAAATAAAAAATTACAGTGACATTTTTCACATGAGAGGTACAACTGGAAAGTATTTATTCATGCAATTTATTTTACCTATTGATCAGAAAAGTAGCATTAACATCCTGAAATTTCTTTAAAATGCTGTAAAAATAAAATGACTGCACATCTGCAGTGCCCACTGTGCCTGCCTACAAAAACAAGTGTCCTAAATCTCCAGCTTTGCACACTCCCTGAAGCTCTACTGTAACATCTAGGAACTGGAAGAAAACAGCATCAGATTGACCATATAAAATGACATCAACAGGATCTGAGGATACTAATATTCTGTAATTGATCTTAAATACAGATACAATAGCACTTCTTAAATCTATACTATGTCTACCAAGCACGTATATGCTGTTAAGAAAAGGTAGTATTACAATTAAAATAGCGTGGTTGTATTTTTCTAGAATCTAGAGCAGTGATACCCAAAAATAAAGAAAGAATCTAGACCAGTAGTAATTCTCCGTAGGGTAGAAAATCTGGTTTTGTTATTAAAGTAAAACATAGAAAGTTTTATCGTGCTGCAAATCTCAGTAAGTTTTATTACAGACAAGTGGTAAGTTGAGTGAGTTCTAATGCAGAAAGAAAAAAAAGCAGATCCATGAAGCTGATGTATTCATAGGAACAGCGAGAGGTTAAAAATGAGCATGTTAAATGGAACAAAAATAGTAACTGAGCAAAACATACAGAATCCCTAAGTAGATGCTAAGGAAGGCCTTTGAAGCAGTTAGTATAACTAAGTCTGAAACCAATAGGCTTATGCCTATTGAAGGACAAGGGTAATTGAAGGAAACAGTGATGAAGCAGGGAAGGAGACAGAAATAACCTCAACTGGGAAAAGACGATTCTATTAAAGTGGTCTTTATCCAACAACACATTCCTTGTGCTTTTATTTAAGACTGTCATATGTCTTTCTCAAAAGACTCTCTCCAGCTAATGAATCCAAATCTACCCTGGGAATTAAGGCTCCTAGCCGCATCGTATGTAAACCCCCACACACACATCGCATGTGCTGTCAGCGCTCCGCTCCTGCCGTTCCTCTCACCTGTATGTATTCTCAAGTGGACCTTTAAGTGATGTGATGTTCTGAATGTTTTTCCACAATATGGGCAGTCTTTCATGGCAGAACCAAGGCTCCTGTCTCTCAGTAAAGCTGGCTGCTGGACTCCTACAGATCTCCCAGCTTCTTCTCCAATGTCTGCAACACAGAAATGATCTCACATCACTTCAGCACATGTCAGAAGTTTTCTCACTAAAACTGCTAACACAACACAAAGTTAAACATGTCAATACTACACCTGTCTACTTCATTCTTTAAATCTGACAGAATGCTGACAATTCATGTATTTTCTTGTTATTCTCTTAAATTATTTCATCTTTCCTATCATCATTTTAAGCAGCATATGGTACCTTTATATTGAACTGAATTATACAAGAAAAGAAACAGCTGTGTCAGCAGCTGGTTTGATTTCTTCTTTTGCTTAGTTCCTATTAATTTTTCCCCCAAAAGTTTTAAATTGTTGTTTTGTTGAGTCTATTTAATTTGTAAGTATTGTAAAAATATGCGTGATTTTAGAATGAAAAAGTTTGCATCAGCATCAGTTAAAACCACTCATAAAAATAGATCCACAGGGACAGGCAGACCAACAGAAATGGCAATGCCTACATGCAAAGCTAATCAACTTTCTTGCAATGCTCCAGCGTCAGAGAAACAACGTGTGACCTGGTGAGTGACCTCATATCAAGGGAAAGCTGATGGAAAATCCGGTCAGATGAGAGGGAACTCCTTTGACCCTTCACCCGCAGCTACCAGGCTTTCTCCTTCCATCTTCATAGCTACACTTACTCTTTGCATTGCAATACAATGGGTGAAACTCCAGGACATCTCATCTCTCTCGCCATAGGAAGAAACCATAATTCTCAGCCATTCTGAAGAAGCTGCTATTATTCAAGCAGACTATGGACAAAATAACTTAGAAAAAAACTGGCACAGAAATTACAAAATGTACAGTGTTTTTAAGAAGTCATTACTCATACCACACAAGACTCAGCTATCATCTTGTACTTAGAGGGTCATGTTATATCACATATAAGTATCAATTAACATTATCACCAAAAAGTACCGCGGCACACGCTGAAATTCTGAGATGGATTTACGACTGTGGGCATGCAATACATGTGGGCACATTTCCAGTCCTGGATGCAAAGGCTGAGCCACGTGGTCTGTGTTGAAGGAGGGAGTATATAGTTAAAATCTGCATGTAGAGTCTCAATTATTTCAACCATGAACTACTGACTGAAAATGCTTGGTCTCTACCCAGCTGATATGAAACTAAAGCTGTCAGGAAACACAGTGCAGTTTATGCAGCATTTCCCTTTAAGTGGAAGTGATGGACGTAAGAAAGACTTAGACATTTTGCTCTAATAAAAACTGCTCACAAAATAGCAGAGATCCAACTACCACGTGCTGGAAAAGGTAAAACTAACAGGCACTTCATTATTTATTATTAAATGGTCACACTAAACAATTTTGCTTAAAGTTGAAATAAGGGATGATTCAGTGTGACAAAAAATGTACAAATGCTCATCTTAGTCATGCGTGTCATCAAGTGATTGCTAATTTTCAAAAGTCAAAATCTGATTCTAGAAATTGACATTCTTGTTTAATATTTTCTGATTTCTCTTAGGCTGCTGGGTTACAGAACACTATTTAGGTTTACAGGGCTAGTAATTGTCACTTTGAATTATTCACAAGTATGTGAAAGAACACAATGCAGAGTGCATTGTGTCTTTCAGAACCCAGGAAAACAGATATAGGTGCCAGTCCATAATTCCAAGCTTCCTAAAGAGTTTAGATTTTCCACTTTATTGTTCTCCTCCAAAGTTGTATATATTCATGTCTTAAGCCGCTCTGGGAGAAAGAGAATTCCTGACTGCAAAAAACATTTGTGAAGTGCAAAATACAGAATACATGATGATAAATTGCAGGATTTTATTTTTGTTTTCAATAAATACTATATGAGCATTATAGATAAATATATAGATAAAGCTAACAAGCCACTCAGGAGGAATTTACAGAATAAGTCGACTGGTTATGTTTTGCTATATGTCACTCTAAATGATGGCCTGTTATCCATTTGCCTTTTATCTTTCTATCTAGAATATGTGTGGCCCAATAAAAAAGAATAAATTTGTAAGATAAACAGCTCGCTTTGCAGATTTAAGAGTCTAATTTTCACTTTACACAAAATTGAATTTTTTCAAGGCAGCGAGACGATGGAGTTTACTCTAGCACTAATCCCTCTGAAAAAGCAAACTGAAAACAACAATGAAGCAAAGAAAGATGTGGGTGGTCTGAAGAGTTTTCTTTTAGATTTAAGTAGACATACAGTAGATAGCTCCAAAGGCTTTACTCCAACAGGGGCCTTACCTTGAAGAATTTTTCTTCCCACAGTGAAAGCATTCCTAAGACTTTAAAGCTGGGCTGAGGGGTTTTCTTTTGAATTCCTCTGCCTACAAAGCCCACCGAAGCACTGGAGGCCATCACTACCTGAATGAACAGCTTTACATCTAAGTCCTTTTATTTCCAACAATGAAAAGATATGTTTAAGGCTGTCGTCTGTCCCCATCGAATACTAACCCAGCTTCGTCTTACTAAGGCTCTCTTTTAGCAAATTGTACCTATTTGTCAAGGCACTTAAGTTTAAAATGCGCTTAGCTATAAAATGCATTTACATCTCACTGCTGTCAAGTTTATTTTAACACTTTCTTAAAACAATACATGGAAAGCGAGGGAAACAAAATCACAAAACAGGAAAAGGATAAATAATTAGCATGGGAAGAGTTACAAGGCAAACTGATGAATGCAGGCTAAGGCAACAATGGTGTATGCGCAGAAACAAAAACATTCCCCCTTATTTATTCTCAGATGTGCCCCTTTCTCCTGCTATTGTAACCCCCTCTGAAGTACAAGCTCTCAGTTACGTTAAAGCATGCAACACTTTGCTAATGTTTTACAGACCTGCACAACTAGGATAAGCCCCACCAAGTCCATCTAATTTATGGTTTACTTGGGAACTGAGCAATGGTTTTCAGGCTGCTCAATTCTGAGGATAGAAGATCAGGAAGGAAAGAGAACAGTTACTTATCCTGCAGTCATTGTGGTTCATTGAGTTATGTGGTCTACATGATGTGCACTTGATGCACGTGACATAAGACTTCTTTTTTTACTACCTACTTCCATTACAGGCAGGTCTATGTCCTGAATGTCTTCCGGCCCATTCCTACCTTTCCTGATTCAAGTGCAGGAAATAACAGAACCACGTATGAAATATTGTATAGATGTACAAGCTAGATGTGATGCTTCCAAAGCTTGTATTTGAACTTACTTTCACTGAGCTTTCCTTTTGCTTCCCTCACAGCACAAAGAAACGTCCTCATTCAGTTCTAAATGAGAAGCTGGTCTTTGTGCCATACCTTGGGTGACCACAAAACTAAGTCAGCCTCAAGGCCAGAGGCTCACTTAGAGGCAGGCAGGTCACACCAACCCAAGAACGGCCATCCACTCACCTGCACTCTGGACCTTAAACTAACAAACAGTAAAAGCAACTATGTCTGGTGCAACACACTTCACAGCTTAACGGCGCCATTCTCCTACCAAGGACACAGACACAACTGCCAGTGACTTTGTCTTGAAAAGCTGCAGTCCTCTGGCTGTGCACTTAACCATTCCATGTCCTAATGGGAAAAATGCAAGGAACACTTCAACATCCACTGTGGAAGCAGTAATTAGCTACGTAACCAAAGGGCCAATTTGGTCAAAATGTGAACAAACCTGTTTGGCACACAGTCGGAAATGAAAATTAAGCAACCACACAAAACACAAAGAAAAAAGAAATTGAAGTTTCCCCAGTTTTCTGCAAGACCGGTATACCTTTTGGGGATGAAATGAAAAAGGTGATTGGAAATGGACTGATTGCTTTTGTAAAAAGAAGCATGTTTTCAGTTGGTCACTGACTGCAGTCATGTTAGCAGCACATTTTCAAAGAGTCTTCTCCATACGTATCCTTTAAATTCTGAAAGAGAATTTATTTGCTGCATGTATGTGCAAGCACAGGGATTCACAAAGAGGCACTTTCATAATTGCAGTTCTCACACAGACTAAATTATCAGTGAAGTCAGTTGGAATTTGCCAACACAAGGATTGCCAAATTAGCCAAAAACAGGCAATCACATGGAAAAGGTAATCAGCTCACAAAATAGGTAATCACGCTTACAAATATATGTTTGCTCTTGCACATTTTTCAGGCATTATTAAAGAACCGTTTGCAAATATGTCCAGAAGCTTTTAAAACTGCACATAATCCCACATTTTTTTGTATATTTCGGAATTTCAAAATATTTGTAGTTGTTTAGAACTGCCTGCAAAGTTAATGAAACATGATGCAACATGAGGAGGCAATTTTTTAAAGATCTATAAACCACTTAGATAAGACCACTTTGTATACAATTACCTTAGCAGGAAAAATTTTATTCTCAATTTGATGTCAAGAAGATAGTTAGAAGATATTCAACATTTTAATCCTGTCGCTGCTGTCATCATTATGCAAGTATGCCTGGACTCTGACCACCTCGTTCCCTGGAAAGCACTCAAGTGTACACAAAAGTTTCTGGGAAAACATGCTTTACCTTTATTTCCTTAGAGAAAGCTTGAATAATACTGAAAACAGGGATATAATTAATGATATTTTTTCAGCTACCTGGAGTATATTCAGTTAATATGCTTAGATGAAAATGGCCCAAACATTGGCCCAGTGCTCACAATTTGAAATTAGAATCCTTTTAGCAGATGTTCCTACACTTTTTGCTAGTGAAGTTCATGGCTTAAAATAAAAGTCTAATATTACTGAATATTACAGTTATATTTTAGGCCTCCGGAAAGATTTACTAATGTCTTAGGTCAGGAACAACTTGCTGTCTCTATTGTTTCATCAAGGATTTAGGTTTTACAATGACCATATATGGGAATCTTAAACTGTTGAGCATTAATATGGATTGGCAGAGAATTTGTTTAAACAGAGAGCTATTTTAGACGAGAATTGGAAAGGAGGCCCACTAGCGAGAAAACAGCATTCTTATTGTTTGTATTATTAGAAATAAAGATTATACCGAAGGTTCCACTGGTAAATAAAGAGATAC